ATATATATATATATATATATATATATATGAAAAAAAGCTCTGTGGAAGTTTAGCATTTCTCTATAGTAATGACACAACATATACTGTGTTCAAACACTGTGTGCGGACACTCTCTGATGAGGATGCCTATTATTTTCCAGGCACATAATTAATTTTCTTGTGGAAACATTGTCATTTTTAGGGACATGAAAGACTTCTGTCTTATTTATGTTTTATATTTTAAGTCAAGATTCAGTAAAAGACAATCTCTTGTGTGGGCAGGATTTCAGGAGGAGGCTGGTCTTCTAAAGGTGCCTCTGGAATGTGGAGAAAGGCAGGACCACAGTTCCGTAGAGAGACATGGTGCTGTAGGGCCAGCGTAAAAGAAAGTCCCAACTCCTTCTAGAAAGTTCCATATCAGCAGACATGGGTGAGTCAATAGCACCTAAGGAAACTTGGGCAAGTGTTCATATCAGGAGGACATCCTACTCTCAGGTTTATCCTTATAACTCTAGGATACCTATGCCATATACTCAAATAACGTTCCTCAGTAAGAAATCTGGGTAAATTCAATTTGACTTTGTTATTTACCAACTATTTGTATATCTTTTAACACTTAATAAAAGGCTGATGCTAATATATTAAATAGCTCTAATATAGCACACATTTCATCTTTAATTTACATCTCTGACCTTGTTTTGTTCATAATTGAAATTGAAAAATTTAAATCAGAAGCTGGAGAAATTTTTTTTTTTTTAGCCGAGCCATCCTACCACCTGTTGGCAGCTCAGTAGCAGCTCAGCTCAGACCGGGACTCGAACCGGTGTTACTCAGAGCTCTCACTCTTGAGTGAGCTCTTAACCAACTGAGCCACTCAGCTGGCCCTAGAAGCTGGAGAAATTTTTTAAAAAGCACAATAGTGTTGCTATTTAGGTTTTTAAATTTTTTTTTTCCCCCTCATGAACTGGAATCACCAAGTCAGAATTGTCCTCTAGATCCCAAATCTTAGTACAAATTGAACTCACAGACTTGCAAAGTAGTAGAAAATTAAAAATTCTCCCTAAATCTATGTTGATAACGTAAGTCGGGTTGGGTAATTGAAAGGAAAAATCTGGTGCTGGTTTTATCAATACACTTGATTTGTATTAATAAAAATGCAGCATGCATATATATGTAAAAGACAAAGTGCCCTCAGTAACACTCTAAAGGCACGAGAGGCCAGTGGAGTGGACATTCCTCAAGTCTACACAAGTGAAGCTCTTTTAATATAAAAAGTTTTTCCAATTCTGAAATAGTGGAAGATAAATTGCCAATAATTTATTTCTTCCGATTCATCAGTTTCTGTATATTGCAGGATGTTTTCCTCTGTGTCTTTCTCGAGGCTGTGTATGGCAGAAGGCTGCATGTGGGAAGATGGAAGTTTTCCCCTTAATACCCTTTCTTAAGATTAGCAGGACATGAGACTGCTGCCTCCACATTTTTGTGGAGATATGCCTGCTAAATGCAAATATTTTCTCCGCATCATCCTGGTATCTGAAAAAGCACAGACTTGGTCCACACAGAAGCTTATGCTAACGTATTATGACTGTCTCTGGTTGCTCTCCCTAAATGTCTCCTAGTCCGTGAATGGCCCCTTCAAGAATTTCCCACTGTGTCCTCTGAAATCTCTTTTAAACTGAAAAACAAAAATAAAAATGCTGTCGAGGCACCTGCCTTGATGGGGGTCCTGACAGGAAGAGTGGTCCCGCTTTTCTGAATTTCCTGGCTTGGTGTCTCCCCTGAGGTCATTTCTCCGGGGCCTGAGGTCTGCTTGGGACCCCAGAACCTGCTGGGAGCTGAGAGGGGCTGCCCACTTCCTCCCTGTGCTTCTAGCCACTTAGGCTGGTTGGGCCAGAGGGTGGGCAGGAGCGCAGCACAGATTGGGGTGCGCACACACAGGGGATCCCCTCTGGCCGAGTGCAGGCTGGAACGGGTCAGCTTGCACCTCACCACTTTTCTTTCACCTGCCCCTCCCCGCTCACTGTAATTTATGGCCCTGGGCCACTGGGTGAGCCAGCCCCTGTGTCATGTGCACATCCTGTGCCTTTTCTTGTTATTGTTTAGGAGTGGGAGGGGGTGGGTTTTCACTGAAAGGGGGTACACTTATGGCTGCCTTGATGTGGAATCATTCACTGTGTCCTGGATGTAGGTTATTCAATAAACACAAGGTTGGTACGGCGCCCCCCCCCCCAAAAAATAAAAAGCTGTTCTCTTAGGGGTAACTCTGAAAAAATAAACAGGTATCTATCCATGGTTGTTATTCAATTTTGTTTAGCAATATTCCTCTGCCATCTCAAAACTACTAACAAGCCAATAAACACAAAAACAACAACAAAAAACAACAACAAAAAAATCATTTCGGATTTGGAAGGGGGCCTACCAGGCCGTGGCTCATGCTCTCCTTGCTCTGACCTGTTCCTCAGCCCCTTCAGATGCTCGGATTCTGGGTCTCACTCATTCCTACCTCCTTGGGACCTTAGTCCTTCTGCCAGTCCCTTCCTCATCATAACCACTGATGGACTTGCCTGCTTTCCAAGACAAACAGAAAGGTCTTTGAGGGAAAGAAACCATGCGTGATCTGGCCCTGTTCCCTCAGAACCCAGCACATCGCTTGGGACATAATAGGTACTCAATAAATACTCATCGAATAAATGAATATAGATAGTAAATAAGTGAGACACAAGCTTAAAATTTTACCTGAAAATATGCTAATGAGTAAGATCACTGAAATTTTATGTCTGTGCTTTTTACTTGCGCATGAAGATGTTGATGGCATCTCATTAATTTAGTGCAATCGACCTACTGTTCTTACAGTCAAGAATCTTTCACTTCTGACAGAAGGGCACAATCTATTGGGTTGTCGGAAAAGTCCTGACGTATTTTTTCCTATGTTTTTCTTTGCAAAAATGCGTCACGACTTTTCCGACAACCCAATAGTTAACAGAAATGTTATTCTGTTGATGTAATACGTAGGCATCAACTGTGACAAAAGTCCTTTGAGACCCATGCAGAGAAACAAAATTTGAATTCCTATCAGAAAGAAACCAGAAAGCCTCACAAGTCAAAGTGAAAACAGGAAGTAGAGACAGTTTGAGGAAGTCTGGCTGGAGGAATCCTTTCCTGAGACAACCCCCACCCCCCTGCCCAACAACGCAGACAGGGATTTACAAAACACGGAAATAAATATAAAGCAAGGGTAGGTGGGGTGCAAATGATTTGTAGGAATTTACAGAATGACTCAAACACGGAATTGTCAACTTTCTGTACTTACCATGAGATATTGCTAAACTCTAATACAACTCCCGTGGCAGTCACAAAACAGTTTGATTCAATTCCCTTTAACTTTGGAAAGTAAAAATCCCTTTTAAATAATTTCAACCCATAATTCATGAAAGGAGAGATTTCTATGTATTTATTTATTTTTAATTCTAGGGCTGAAACATCCTGTCTCCCTTCCCATTAAATCTGTCAGATTAGATCTACAACGAGCATCCTCGGAAAGACAACAAATTATTATATAACACCTGCTTCACTGAAGTAAATACTTTCCGAACGTCTGTATTCTACCATGATAACAACCCCCAGAAATTACCATCCCCATTTTACAGATTAGGAAATTGGGATTCAAAGAGATGAAGCCATTTGCTCGAGGACTGGGATTCACCCTGACAGTGGCAACTCTGGAGTCTGCACACTTGCCACAGCTCCCAGGCCACCATTTCACACACACACAAGATCCTGCCGGAGCTCAACAGAAAGACATCTTCCTGAGAGTCCCCTTTTTAAAGACCGCAATGCATAATTAAAACTAGAAAAAGAGAAAAATGCCGCATCGGGGATTTCTGGGACACGGGTTGGGGTCGAGACCCAGTGACGTAAGCATTCACGAAGCACAGAGACTAGGAGAAGGGAGGCTTTCTGCGGTGGGGCGTGGACACCGAGATCCTGTGGAGGGACATGGGACACTGACTGGTCTCCCCTCCTGGTTGTCTTGCCGATTCTGTCTACGTCTGAACAGCCAGCAGAGTCCGGCATTGCCAATGCTCACCGAACCTGGAAGACTGTGGACTGTCCATTCCTACAGCTGGACTTAAGCCCTGAGGAGAAAGGGGCCCCGGTGTGACGAGCGCTTCTCAGGTCCAGAGAACCCCTGCCTTCCTTAGGTGGCACCCCGAAACCACGCGACAGCGTGAGGGTCTTTGGGACCCACGGCCAGCTGAGCTGAGGTGGGCAGCATTTGCTCTTTGTCTCATTCTGTTGGTTTCTGTGTCCTCAGCTAAATTCAGAATGCAAGCCTCCAGAGAGCGTGCAGGTCGCGGGGAGGCTGCAGACACCAAGTGTCATCACATCACTCCATACAGCTGTCCACGCTGCTCCATTAACTCCTGCAGATGTTAACTTTTATGATTCCTCTTTGCCTGTGTGCTACTCCCCTACTCTCTTATGCCTTATTCCTGCTCATTTCACATGATCTCCTGTCTGCTTTTGACCCTGCCTCCTAGAAAATAAACACACACACAAAGAAACGTTAAGCGTGCATTCCTCGCCCGAGTTAGGAGCTGGCTACTCCTTTCCTTCCTTCCTTCCTTCCTTCCTTCCTTCCTTCCTTCCTTCCTTCCTTCCTTCCTTCCTTCCTTCCTTCCTACCTTCCTCCCTTCCTTCCTTCCTTCCTTCCTTCTTTCTCGTTCTCTATCATCTTCATTTCAGTGTCCACTCTTCTCCCATATTGTTAGGCCCTTGGTTCGCGCTCTCTCTCTTCCTTGAGGAGCGTTGCTCTCGCATCTCCGCATGTGCCTCCTTGGGAGCGAGCCCAGGACAGGGACCCAGGTCCTTCCCGTTCGCGTGCTTACCTTTCGGCACCACTCTCGGGACAAAGGAAACCATGGATGTTTGAATCTAGTGAAGTTACACAGTCAGAGCTAGAAGCAGCCTGAAGTGACAAGCGTGGCTCTCCGCAAGCTGACAAAGAACTTTCTACTCACATTTCAGCTCGAGTTTGATGAAATCCGTGTTGCCCAGGTTTTCCAGAAACACTCCGCGGGGGATTAACGTTTTGAAGTAGAAAGAGATGTCGGCACTGGTTTCCCCTTGGAAGGTGGAGAAGTGCAGGTAGGAAGATGGGTTTGGGAAAGACGCAGCATTCCAGTAATTCCCTGGGGGAGGAAGGAAAAACAGGGTCGTTTACCCGTCGGTCGCGGCAGAGACGGAAAAGGTATCCATTTCTTGGCTTTGCACAGATTCCCACCGGCTAGAGCCCTGGTTTCCTCCCACCCTACAGGCAGCCACATCACCCCTAAACCAAACAACCAGCCCTGTGGCTTCCCAAGAGTTCTATGCGTACATGTATGAAAGACATTTCATTAGAGATTGATAGTTGGGGTTCTGACAAAGTGGTCCTCGAGGGACTCGAGGTGAAAGAGCAAGTGGAGGGGAGCCCCCGGTGTCGCTGTCTGTGGTGGGTGGGGGCGGTTCTGAACTCCGGCATGTGTCTGGTGGCTTTGGTTGGTGCACGAAGCACGTGGGCCGGACCCAGAGGGACAGAAGAGGAATTGAGGTCTGTGATGTTCTGCCCTTGCTTCTCCGGCACCTCGGCCTTGCAATAACCAGGCAGCAGCTGCTCAGAAACGGGGTGCCGGTGCTGTCGGAATACAAGTGGGGGAGCCCAGAAGCCGTGTGGATGCGGGGAGCTGAGAAAAAGGCAGGATGGCCAGGCTGGTTACTTCCCCGCCCCACTGCTCGCACCCCCCAAAGCTGAGTTGCAACCTTGTCCTCCCTGGGACTGCAGATGACACTGACCTGTGGGGTGTCTTCGGGGGCGGGCAGCTCTGAGCTAAGCCCACCTCTTGGCTCTCAATCAGCCTCTAACCTGCAGCTCATGAAGAAGATGTGATTGTACCCACCCCTCCCTCCTCCTCGCCCCACAGTAGCCGGTGTCCCCAGGAGGAAAGCGGTTCGCAGGACAAAATGAAACCACCACACTGGACGACTCACATTCCTTTAGAACAGATGGACCAAAAATTTTAAATGGGACCCAGAGCTGACGCTCAACTTCACCTCCAGGTGAAAAACCCTTTTCTAATGTGCACCTTTCCGAGTCCGTTTACTATCACAGCTATGGACTAAACCACGTGGGCATGCTTTAAAACAGTTACTAAAGCTTTTATATTTAACACTAAACCTATTTGGCTGAAGTCACCAGGTTTGGCTGAAGATGGAATCGCTTATGCTAAGCCCCACATCAGCAAAGCAAAGCTTAACTCAGTTTCTCAGCTCAGCTCTCCCACAAGAGGAAGACCCAGGTCGACCAGTCGGCACTTGCCTGCTCAGCACAAGTTACCTGACCCAGCTGTAAGCCGTCCCTTTGCTCCATGTAAGGAAAGTAACCCTGCTGTAACCAATCAGCAAATGCCCAGTAGACCTCTCCTATTCCTGCTCACTTATGTCTATAAAAATCTCTCACATTGTACAGCTTTTCTAGCTGTTAAAAAGAGTGGATGCTGCCCAATTCATGAATCATGGAATAAAAGCCTACTAGAACAGCAAATTGTCTGGGGAAACTTTTCTTTTGACACCCAAAATAAGTGATTTTTTTCTATGAACTGATTTTTGCTATATCTTTCCTTCAAAGAACACAATTAATCAACTAAGTTCAGCCTATTAGTTTCCATAAACTATATTTTTTCCCTTTCTTTTATGCAAATTATGCATACGTGCAATATTAAGTTCAACTACTATTCTTAAATAAACTTTGTGTTGGTGCTGCTATGCTTAGGCCGTAATTGTAAATTAAATATAGAATATTGCTATGTTATGCAATATTAAAATACTCTCTTATTTAATTAATGCTATTTGTTTTGTTCTTATAGTCATGTAGGATATAGTGACATCTAGATAAGTGAATGGCCACATATTACCAGCAAGTCAGTGCAAACTGTGTTTCTAAATGTCTTCATTAAAGTAAAAACAGTTTTAAGATATCTATATATCTATATCTATATCTATATATATCTATATAGATATATAGATATATATATTTTAAATGGCAATATCATAGTTTTCAGTAGGAGAAAAATAGACCAGTTTTCTCTTGGGAAGAAGAATACTCTATGACACTGGTTAAATAATACCCGAAAAGAAAAAATCTTAATTTAACTATTGAAGTTGTTATTGTCTGAGGGCTGAGTCCTCTTTCTGGCTCAAGATCTGGCTTAATATTGGGCTGCTGGGAAAGTCATGACGTATTTTTTCTATGTTTTTCGTCGCAAAAATGCATCATGACTTTTCCGACAACCCAATATACGGTGAGAGGAGTTCAGCCTCACCTTAGCAGCTGGCCGAAATGAAGGTCTCTGGAAATAAAACCCGAGCCAAATGGAGGTTGCAACCCTCTCACCAGTCAGAGTTCTAGGAGCGAATGAAGCCAAGTCTCTGGGACCAGCGGGATTCGGCCCACACTAAGTGTGTGTGTGTGTGTGTGTGTGTGTGTGAGTGCGTGCCTTTAACAACCTAGGACTCCGCAAGGATCCAGGTCCCCGCTAGACTTCCGCCTGAAGCTGAGCAATTGTGTTTCTTCAGGAAGCATCCCTGAGACATGAATGTCAGTAACATTGTGAAGTTGCAATCCAATTAAGTGCATTCTTATTTTCTGAGGTGGTGATGTATTCGCAGAAGGGCAGTTGTCTAAAATGATTCCAGAAAAAGGAAAGCTAAAAGTAAAATATGTCAGTATTTATTTAGGGTCCAGCGCTGGTGATTCAGACAGAAATATCCCCAGAGAGGAGAAGGGCAGTTCAATCAGTTATTCTCATTTGATGAAATATCCCTACAGACCCCAATCCCATTTGTTCTAATTCTTTGCTCACTAAGCAACTTCGAACTCATTTGGTCTCTTGAATGGATGCATTCACAGGGAAATTGCGCCTTGTACAAATGGTGGTTACCAGTTGTCTTTCCGGAAATGTCTGCATTATCGCGTAATATCTTTGGAGTTGTCACTTGTGGGCTGTCCCCAATCTCTGGGTGAATTTAGAGTCCACATTCTTGAGCAGCTACAGGGAGGGCTCTACTCTGGACCTGACTGGTGGGGTCAGAGCTGAGGTGTGTACGCAGGAGGCATGGAGCGAGAGTCAGCGGACACAAGCAGAGGTGGTTAGAAATCCTGTTTACATTTATTTACCAAAATGCATCCTTTAAAATATCTGGCTTGGTTATGCTTTACGATGTACATGATGTATGAGCACAGCAGTACATGGATAGGATTTACAAGTAGGCATGCTTATTGGGATGTGGGCTTAAGGGCTTCACTCAGCAGGACACGTTCTCTGATGAACGTCTGTGAGACCTGTTCTGATGAGCCCAGGGACCAGCCTTTGGGGTTTTGGGTTGTAACAAAATAACATGCGTGCTTTTTCCAGGGCTCCTTGCACCTCATGGAGCATTATTATTGTTTGTTTATATTGCTCCCAACGGACCGTAAGCTCCTTGAAAGCCGGGAGCAAACCATTTCATCTCTGCAACCTTTGGCCCCGGAACACAGTAAGTACTTGATAAATAATAAATCAATGGGTAAGTGAATAGCGGCCTCTCTCAATTATATTCAATCTACTTGATAGTGACCTGAGGATTGCAGATGCTAACTAAATATAAATACAAGCTGATGCTGCTTTAGCACCTGCTGATACCTGGACGCGGGCTCCACGGGCACACCATCCCTTTCCTTACACATGGCTTAGTTTCTCTGAATCCCGATAAGACCTCATCGGACAATGCCATGGGTTTGCAAGACTGATGGTCTCCTAGCCTTGAGGCTGTTGAAATAGCTGCCATTTGTACTTACTATCAAGGCCATTGCTGTGGAGGGTAAAATGCCATTGATTGAGAAAACCACATTGGACATACGAGAGTCACTCTATGGCAAAGACTGGCGCGGAACAGGTGGCAGGGACGGCCGGCCTGGACAGGCAGGAGGAAGCCAGTTTGGAAAGCGAGAGGGAAAGTGTGAGGCACAATGGAAAGAACTATCGGAGACCGGAGGGGCCCGTCAACAGTGACAGTAAGGAGGCAGGTAGAAGGGGCCAGGGCTCCCCCGCCGTGGGCAGGGCCCAGGGATCAGAGGTGAGCTCAGTGGCTCCACAGGCTTGGAAAGGACTTGGGCATGCGAGGAGCTTTTTAAAATACATTCTGGGCACGGCCTGAGTTCGCGGGTGGCACGAGGGACCACGGAGGGCTTCCGCTAGTGCAGGAGAGAAGGGCTGGGGCCGCAGACCAGGCACTGCTGACAGTCATCCTGTCACCCCTCCGTGAGCCGTCCCTGGCAAGTGCAGTGTCCTCTATCATTCAAATCCTGAGACGGCCATTGCCTTTACCCTCACCGAGCATTATTTGGTATGGGATTCTGACCTCAACATTTCTAACCGTGTTTTCTGATGGGCAGCAATGAATTTTAAGCCTATTTTTAATTTCTAACGAGGCATTACATAGTTTTAAAAGCCAAGGGCAGCTAGAAGGGATATAGCGAACCACAGTTCCCGCTCCACCCCTCCTCAGCTCAAACCCAGTTTCTTGGACAACTCCTTCTACATGTCTAACTCTTATCATTACAGCCCTGTATTTCTAAAATCTACTTGCACAGACATTTATTAATGTATGCATTGTGGGCATTCTCTACTGACTTTCCTGAATGACTGGGCATTTTTACAAGCCTGCGTATTCCCCTCCTCCGCCTTCTCCCCAAACAGCCGAATGACAGACTTTTGGTTCTACTGAAATTGCATATGTTCTAATTCCTGAACCTCCTGGAGCGCTGCTGTTTGCTGGTCACCCACCTGGCAGCAGTGTGCGCTTAGAGGTTTTCTTGTACCTTCACAAGGAACAACTGAACATGAGATGTGCGGACGTCCCTGTGTGATGGTGGGAGCAGGAGCAGAGAGTTGGGGAGACGTGTGTGTGGGGGGGACGGCTGCGGGGGTAACAGCAGTGAACTCAGGGGGCTGCCCTGGCCTGTCTGTCCCATGGGAAAACTGCTGTGTACTGGTCCACATTCTGGCTCCGGAATCAGACCGTCTGGGTCTGTCACCCCCACCCCCTGGGCCACTGCGGACCAATTTCTTGATTTTCCTAAATCGCAATCTCCTCCTCTGTACAATGGAACGAC